CCTCCTTCTACTCTTTCCATTTTGAAATAGACACACTTGACGTGTAGCAGCACCGATGAATTTGGGGGGCTAAGGTGAGGTGCTGCAGACGAGGGCCTGGCTCCTGCTGACATGGAGACTATCTAACCTGGGTGAGGACCGATCACGGGAGGTTGTCCCAAAGGCAGTCCCGCCTCACCCATCCTCTTCCCTCAGATCCTGAAATAAAGTGACAAAGGAGGTAAACTGTGTTGATCAAATAAATGCTTTGAAAACCCACTTATCAGTGGCCAGGTCTGGTTTCCATCACTAATGAGTAATACAAGCCCGTGTACAGCCCTCCTGCCTCTGTGGTCTGGCCTGAGATTTCGTCCAGAATGAAAAGCAGTAAACCAGGAAGACGGGGAGAGGGAAGGGATGGCGGGTGGAGAGAGGATCAGAGTGGAGGGGGCAGTCTGGGGGTTCTGAGTGATTGTGTGTGTGTGATTTTTACCAATTAAACCTTTGATGAATAAATGCAAGCCAAACTGTTTCCGTTGTCATTGCTATGGTTGGTGACGTTTTAGACAGCAGAGTTCTAAATTCCTAACAAGTGCCTCTCTGGATATTTGAGTCAACTCGAACTGGAACCCGGGCCCAGCTAGCAGAGTCTGGTGAAGTCTAAATCAAATAGCATCAGGCTTCCTGATTTCCGTGGTAGGACATCAGGTGTGACATTAGCTTCCAAAGCACCACAGTCTCCTTCCAACAGCCAGGTACAATATTGGTTCTCGCCTTAAAGTTAAAACCTGAACCAACCGTTACCCAGCACACAGCAAAGTGTGATTGATGCACATGCTACTACGACACTCGTGTGCTGAGGGGTCCACGCGAGCGTCTAAGTTCTCTTTTTGCCAGAAGTTTAAAGGCTCCAAAGCAGCAGGACAAGAAGAATACGTGCCCTTGGGGATGCTTTCCGTAGCAACACCACCAGCTGCTAAATGAGTGTTACATGTCCAGCTGTTTGGCTGAGGGGAAATGCTAGAAACGGCCCTGTGGAGAATGTTCCTGCACCTTCTGTAAAACCAGGCAAAGATGTAAAATATTTACATCAGCATTTTTAGTACGTTTTTTCTCCCCAATTCAGGTCAGAAGTCACTCTACTAGGGTCTTGGGAAGGGAAACTTGGCAGTTGGCATGATGGGTGCAGTCCCCCACTTTGGAGACCTCCCTGAGATGCCAGGTCACAGTAAAGCTGCTTGTGGCGTCCTGAAGAATAAAGGGAGACGGTTAATGATATCAAGAAAGGACAAGATTTCATCCATTTCCCAGTAGAGGTGCTTTTGTCAATGGGGCCAGAAATACTCACAGTCAGTGACCGCTCCCCCCAGCAGCTCTCACCCCACTGGGGAGGACGTGGCATGTCTATCCCTGGTCAGCCAGTGAAGCCAAGGAGGGTGCAGCCCACATTGCCCACCTCTGACCAAGACTGCGACCGAACCTGCCTGGAACCCTCTCCACGTGGCTGTGAGTTCAGGCAGGTGGTCCCCAAGCTCTGCTGGCCACGGAGCTGGTCTCTCTGCTTAGTTCCACTTTGTGTTCACGCAATAATTCACTTTTGTGTGAAGGTGACACCCTGAAGGCCCTGCCCTTCACATCCTTGGGGACCACCTTCGCCTTGGCCTTCAACTATCAGTGACGGGAGATCATAGCATCCCTAACACCTGAACACACACGCAACTGTCCTTTATTGGGTGTTGGTTTTGTCTTACTCTTTTTGCGGTGCGCGGGCCTCTCACTGTTGTGGCCTCTCCCGTTGCGGAGCACAGGCTCCGGACGCGCAGGCCCAGCGGCCATGGCTCACAGGCCCAGCCGCTCCGCGGCATGTGGGATCTTCCCGGACCGGGGCACGAACCCACGTCGCCTGCATCGGCAGGCGGACTCTCAACCACGGCGCCACCAGGGAAGCCCTGGCTTTGTCTTACTCTTGTGACTACATTCAGCAGAAAGAAAGCAGATGCTGTCCATGTGCAAATTAGCAGAGAGAAGAAGGCAAAGGAGGAAGAAGAGCCATGTGGCCGGTGTCCTGGGCCCTCTCCTGAGTAGTAAAAGCAGGTGGAGGGCACCCTCTCCAGAGTTAGGGGTCAGAGAAGGCTGGAACAAGCTGTAATAGCTGTTTTTTAGAAGAAGTGTGCTCTCTTTGCCAAAAGAGAGTAAAAGCAAGCTTGCAGGGGGCATCAGAACACTCATCAGAGAACGTGGCATCAATCCTGAGACCAAGGAGGGGCTGGTTATGCAGACACGTGCACAGGGGGCTTCCACACCCTGGGAGCGAAGTGCACCAGCGTGCAGGCACAGAAGAGTGCAGGGCTCATCCAGGGGCCCCGGGGTGTGAACCAGGTGGGGCACGGGCAGGACACACAAAGTGGACAGGAGGTGAGATCCAGAGCAGGAGAATCTTCGCAGACCTGTAGTTCCCCACCTGAGGGCCACAAAGCCCGGAGAAGCTACGGCATTAATGACGGGATGGAAGGATCCACAGATACATGGAGCCTTGCGCGCAGCATAACGTTGCACACATATGAACTGCTTTGCAATTACATGTCGATGCTTTTGTGATTAACTTAGTATCAGCTGAAAGTATTACCAGACATAAAATCAAATGAAAATCATTTTTGAATTCACAAAGGCTTTGAAAAGTATAATGACATGGGCTTTTTATCATTTATCATTTTGGTAGAAATAGTAAAAGTACAACTATTATCGTGTGCGGTCTGCAAAATTTGGAGGCATAATAAAATGTTTGGAGATCAGTGCTATAGGCAGTGGAGAACCACCGAACATTTCTTAGAAGTGAAGCGTCATGAAAAGATTTGCTTATTTTAAAAAGGGGGGAAAAAGGACTTCTCTGGTGGCACAGTGGTTAAGAATCCACCTGCCAATGCAGGGGACACGGGTTTGAGCCCTGGTCTGGGAAGATCCCACATGCCGCGGAGCAACGAAGCTCATGAACCACAACTACTGAGCCTGCGCTCTAGAGCACGCGAGCCACAACTACTAAGCCTGTGTGCCACAACTACTGAAGCCCGTGCACCACAACTACTGAGCATGTGCTCTAGAGCCTGCAAGCCACAACTACTGAGCCCATGTGCCACAGCTACTGAAGCCCACGGTGCCTTGAGCCCATGCTCCACAAGAGAAGCCACCGCAATGAGAAGCCCGTGCACCACAACGAAGCGTAGCCCCCGCTCGCTGCAACTAGAGAAAGCTTTTGTTGCGTGCAGCAATGAAGACTCAACGCAGCCAAAAATAAAAATAAAATAAATAAATTTATTTTTTTAAAAAGGGAGGGGGGGAATCCTGCTGGCCTGCGGGTGCCATGGAGAGAGGCCGGACAGGCCAGGCTGGAGGAGGGGACAGAACCCTTGTGGCAGAAGGGGGAGGACGATGACGATGACACCCAACAGACAGGACCTGGTGGCCAATCAGATGTGAACGTGCAGGAAAGGGAGTCTGGGCTGATGACCGATTTCTAGTCTGGACAGTGGCCCCCATGGTGGTAGATTGTGAGCACAGGGGCACACAAAGGAGGGTGTCAGGGAGCCGTGAGCCGACCTCCGGGAGATGAGGGTGGTCAGCAGAGTGGCCGCCAGAGATGTCCACCCCCTAAGCCTTGGATCCTGTGAACACGTGGATTACACAGCAAAGGGGGATTAAGGATGCAGATGGAATTAGGATCTCCCATCCCCTGACCCTGAGATGAGATCACCCTGGACCCTCTGGGTCAGCCCAACACCAAAATAAGGGCCCTGAGATGTGGAAGAGGAGGTAGGAGGGTCAGTGTCAGCGGGATTCCACTTGAGGAAGACTTAAGAGACCATCACTGCTCTGAAGGTGGAGGAAGCCCCCGAGCCATGGAGCGCCCAGAGCTGCAAGAGGCGAGAGGATGGGTCCCCAGGGCCTCCACAGAGGAACTCGGCCCCGGCCACACCTCGACTTCAGCCTGGGAGACCCGTTTCAGAATTTCACCTCCAGGACCGTAGTGAGAAATCTGCGTTGTTCTAAGGCACTAAGTTTACAGTCTTTCGCTATAGCAGTGACAGGAAACTAACACAGCAAGTTAGCTCTGAAGTGCACGTGGGACATTAGGAGGGCCTGAGCAGAGATGCTGCCCAGAAATGTGTCTCCTTTTAGGGATGAGCATCGACCCCACCCACACGCCTCTGTCACGTGCAGACCCTGGTTTTACTGTTAGGGGTGGGTGCTGCCTGGGGTGACAGGGGACATTGCAGTTGGTGACTCTGATAAACAGGGGCTCTAAAAATGGCTCCAGTTCACAAAAACGAGAGCAAGGCCTCCCCGTGTGAAGGGGGTGGAGGGAGGCCCAGCCCTGGCAGGAATGCAGGGCCCTGGGCCCCCCACTCACCTGCAGCCTCGCCCAACGCCCAACGCTCCAGGCCGCCTCAGGGCTCTGTCTCGGTCTTCCCATCTTCCAGCCGGGGGTGGAGAGTTGGCACGCGCACCCCTCATCCCCTCGGCCCGTGCCAGGCCTGGCATAATTGAAGGACTTCTCTCTTCTATAAAAACGAGTGGAAACTGAAAAATGAATGTGCTATTAGGCATAAAATGCGTAAGCCTCATAAAATTTAACAAAGATAAAGAAGAAAGCCTTCAGGGGCCAGGTGTAAGTTGATCAACTGGGCGTCCTGCCAGGAAGACGTTACCAAAAAGTCCAGTCAGAGTGGACATTTCCTGAGGCTTACAGGGCACCAGCCCTTCATACTCATAACTCCATGGGCCCATTGGGGCAGGTGCCATGCTTATCCCCTTTACAGATTCCAAAGTTTAGGCACAGAGAGGTTAAGAGGTTACGCTGCTTAAGGAACCACAACCAGTAAGCGGCAGAGCCAGGATTCAAGCCCAAACAGCCTGCCTGCTGGGCCCAGCCCATTGCCTCTCCCTGATGTCATGGCTTCCTCCTAACCTCTCCCCCTCCCCCTCCCCTCCCCCTCCCATTCCCCTCCCTGACCCCCTCCCCTCCCTGCACTCCTTCTGTTCTGTCCACACCCACACCGGCCTCCAGGACATGCCAGACATTCCTCTGCCTGCCTCCGGGTCTTTGCACCTGCTGTTCCTTTTAGAAAACTTTTCTCCCCTCATCTCCTTTCAGGTCATGTGAACATCTCTGTGAAGACGCCCGAACTCCTCTAAAGGGACTGGGAGCTCTGTCCTTGTACCCCGGGAAGGCCTGACCCAGATAAGGGAGGTCGGACTGGGGCCGGGTGAGGAGAAACTTCCAGGTGCCTCTGGGCAAGGGTCAGGCTGCTCTCGGAGGCCAGTGGGGGCCAGGAGGCTGGCTGGCTGGCTGGCTTTCGGCACTCCAGGACACATGCGGGTGGGCGGTGGTTCTAGTGGCTCTCTGCCCAGTTTTCTAGTCCACTGTGGTTGACTGGTCAGTGGATACAAAAGAGTCGTAGCCTTGACATGGAAGGTGATGTGGGGAAGGAAGGAGACAGGCCTGTCCTTCGCTAAAGGACCAGGAAAGCTGTCCACCCCCTGCAGATGGGGAACCCTGCTGGCCTTCACTGTGAAGCTGGTGGAGCCCAGGTTCCTCCCAGGGCCACTGCAGACGTTTACCCCATGTGTGCACCTGTGCTCTCACCCAGGACACCAACGGCCTGTGAGAAGGGCAGCCCTGTCCCCACAGGAGGAAGCCCAGGCATATCTGTGACCTCAGCGTCACCCCATGCTCACTGCTGCTCTGGGCCTGGACTTGGGCTCCTAGAACAGACAGGGAGGTCAGCACACAGCCCATCACAGACACAGACCCACAGGGTGCTCATCTCAGATGGAACCCGGAATTCTCAAACCCCACCCTGAACAGACGCATTCCCACCACACCTCAGGGGCCTGCTTCTCCACACCCCTGAACTTCTCTTCACTCCCAAAGAAATTCTTTGGTAGAAAACACAGGTGCCGTTAGAGCCACAAGTCAGAATTTATTTCCTACCACCTCCTGGAGAGCATCTTCAAGGAGAGCGTTCTGCTCAACATCATTTACACTTAAAAACAGAAAAGTATGGGAACTTCCCCAGTGGTCCAGTGGTTAAGACTCTGCGCTTCCACTGGAGGGGGTGTGGGTTTGATCCCTGGTTGGGAAACTAAGATCCTGCGTGCCACATGATGGAAAAACAGAAAAGTATGACTTGGTAAGGCACCAGGTAACCTGCCTCAGGGCCTTTGCACCTGCTGTTCCTTTTAGAAAACTGGGGAGAAGACCTGCCCTCCTCTGGGCTTGTGTAAGAGGTGGGTGGTTTCTCATAAGTGTGTCAAGCACAGAGATCAACATTACAAAAGGTTCATTTCTACACACATGGTGAAAAGAGATGACAGTTGTAGAGGACCCTGTATTGTTAAATTATGACGGGCCTACACCGCGGGACTTATGCTAGGGTATTTCCCAAAACACAACTCTGATAAAACATCCTCCTCGATACCAAGCTGTAAGTTTAACAACGTCTGAGCTCTGAAGTGAATCAAATTTATATTTAACTCGAGCACATACTTTTAAAAACTTTTCTGCCCAAATCTTTATTTTCACCAAGAAGTAAAAATGGAGGAAAACCTCGAGTACAATTGTGCATTTACTCTTCTATAAATTTGGCAACATATTAAAACCTGTTGCATCTCAGTGTCAACCTTCTGGATTTTTCGCACTAATAGTACAGGCTGCATCAAGCGGGGCTGAAAATGAAACACAAGTAAAGCTCTGGAACTGGACCACAGAGGTGTTCCTCACCAACCGCTGGCCCTAAAGGCAGAGGGTGGCAAAGGTTCCCCCCTCCACCGGGGGACCAAGAAGAGCCCCATATGCTGTCACAGGCATAAAATTTCTTTCAAGTTTTGTGTTCAGTCTTAAAAATTAACTTGCATTTTACTCCATGACATTTGCTTTACTATAAAAATACTGTTTGAAATCACTTGCCAGTCAAATAACCCTTCCTCACCCACTCCACACCAGGGCAGGCAGAGCCCCGTCTGGGAAGCTCACGGGTAGGTGAGCCAGGCACCAAGCTTCGAACACATTTCATTAGGTAAGTTTGGGGCATTTCCACAAATGAAGTAATTTTATCCACTCAGGATGTAACTAAACGCTTCAGGAAGCAATGATATCAATTTCAATGTGCTGAAAAATAAATAATAAACAGCATGTTTTTCAGTTTTTAAACAAGGAAATTAGTTAATTTTATTTACTAATAGAAATAAAAGAAGCCTGTAACCTATAGTCTGATCATTTACTTTCTGTAAAAAGAAACACAAATTGGATTTTTTTTTTTAACATAAAAAGGACAAGACCCACAGAAGGATAAACTCCTCTACCTGCTGGCATTACAGAGATTTCCCCAGTTACTGACTGATATTGGTAGATCTGCATCACCACTGCAAGCCTGACGTCACAATCTGATGCATTCAGCTACTTCTCGGCATCTCAGAAGCAGCCCCATCCCAGAGTAAAACTGCTCTCTGGCACTTCAGGTACTTTTCCCCTCCAGAACATGAAGCCCTAAAAACCGCCACCTGGAAGAACACAAACATGTCACCAATCTGTGGTTTTCTGACTGTTCCACAGTGAGGAGACAGCTGAGCAAGGGTGCTGCGGTCCCTGCCACCACCGATCCCACAGGAGGCGCTGTCTCTATCACCAGCTCCCTGAAAGGCATGTGTGGATTTCACTGGCTGTTTTAATAGGTTTCAAGAGACATTCATATTAAAATAGGTTCTAAGAGACGCTCATGTTTTAACATGGGCTCCAAAATGTGTGAAGATCCACCTAGAATCACATCTCAAGGCATCATCAAAAAGAGATCTGTTCCAGAAAGTGTTAAAAGAGGAAGCCAGGCTTCCCTCACAGCTGTTTCTGGGGCCCCATTTTTTCCCATTAACTGTTTAAAAGTCTGAATCAGAAGGAAGAATGGCCACCTCTATATCCGTGTTTGCGTGCGTACACAAAGAAGTACCTTTACGCTGACTTCAGGAAAAAAAGGACATTTTGTGTCCCCCAAACATCTGCCTGCTACAGGCCTTGCAAGAGGGTTCACGCCCCCTGAAGATGGGGCAAGGGAAGCCTAGAAGGTAAGAAACAACCCCGACAGGTCTCCTGAGCGCTGTCATCACAGAGGTTCAGGCAGTTTGGCTCATGTGTATGACAGCAAATACCATGCTCTGAGCTCAACGCGAATCACTCCCTAAAGAAAACAGAGCTATCACTTGCTACACTCCTCATGGCATTTTGGCTGTTGATACGGTCTCAGGATGAAAAACTCCCATCAACAACTTTTCCTTTTTGGTCTACACAGCACCATAGTTAGTGGCATGTTTTTTTGTTGGTTGCTTTTAAATCTTAAGGAACCAGGTATAAGAATACAACCAAAGTGACTGATTTGAGGTTTTATAGGCAGAGGTCTCTCTCTTTTTTTTTCTCAGATTTTTGCTCCTTAAAAAAAAAGGGGGAAAAGTATGAGGTTTCAAAGCTAAGAGTTACTCTGACCGTAGCTGGCCCTCAATCAAGGGACAGCTAACTGTGCCATTTCCTCTTTGTTCTTCTGTGCATTATCTCGTGGCAAAATTTCACTCTGGACGCCCAGATCTGAGGTGACTTTTCATATTAGATATAAATTAATCCAAAGGTCTAGAGCTCTAAATTCCCAGAGTCATGACAAACGCTTAACTTACTTCAAAAATCTCTTGCATAAGTATCTCATCCCTCGGCTCAAACAAACGAGAAGGTCAAAGGCGAGAAAGGATACATACATTGGAGCATCTCCTATAATCCATATACACGCGCATTCTCTATACAGGTTCTACATGGTCAAAGGAGTCGTTTCAGCTAATATAGCCTCTAGTGCGGAGTTCGTCGGAACACAGCCCGTCGGGGCCCCACCAGCATCATACGAAACAGCAGTACTTCTTCCACCAGGACTTGGACAGGGTCTTCATCTTGTCCGGAGTCCTGCTCTTGGACTTCCTGGGCTGCTGCTGAGAGTCCGAGTACTGGATTCCGGCGACGATGGCTGCATCAAAGACCTCTTTGAGGTTCTTCTGAGTCAAGGCCGAGCACTCGATGTAGGAGGCAGCTTTGATTTCCTCAGCACACAACCTGGCCGCCTCCTCGGGCACGGGTTTCTCTTTGCCTTTGTCCAGCTCGATGAGGACTTTGACGTCTTCTCTGAGATCCGACTGCGTCCCCACGAGGATGATGGGGGCTTTGGGACAGTGGCAGCGAATCTCCGGCACCCATTTCTCACTGACGTTCTGGAAGGAGGAGGGGCCCACGACACTGAAGCACAGGAGGAAGATGTCGGCGCTGGTGTAGCACAGAGGCCGGAGCTTGTCGAACTCATCCTGCAAGCGAGCCAAGCACCCAAACGTTATCTTTTACATCAGTTCTCATCAGCACAAAGACCGTTTGAACATTTTTCTGGAAAGGGTCTGGCAGGTAACAGAAAGCCCACGAGGGATGGAAGGAAGAGCGAGAGTCCTCAAAAGGCCCCTGCTGCCAAGTGGGGCAATGCTCCCAGCCCCTGGAAACCTGCCCGACGTGCTCAGCGTTTTCCTTGATGCTCTAGACCTACTTGCAATTTACCATAGGAAAGGTCCTTAAATTAGATGGATTCTCAAAATAAAATTTACTTTCTCTAGGCTTCAGCACAGAGTAACTCAGACCCACTCCTTCAACTCTGGTACTTAGTCAGGCTCTTAAAACGTACCCAGTACCCACGCTGATCCTCGGGGCTCCACCCTGACTCCAGGGAACCCCAGTCTGTGAACCCAGCGCCTCTGTAAGGACCCATCCCTGCCCATCCTCACAGCAGCGATGAGCCATGCCTATTCCATCCCATCTGCGCTGGGCACACCCAGGGCACATTCAGGGCACACGCGGTGCAGAATCATGGGAATCAGACACAGGTCTGGAGTTGAGGACCTGGACTTGGCCACTCTCATTAGGGACCCAGAGAATGTGTGCCTCTCAATGTCACATACAACACTGGTGAATACAGTCTCACACTTGCTGGATATAACACTTCTCGATTTATCTTTTTCTCCCTCCCTCCTTTTCTCTTACTTTCCCTCCCTTCTTTTCTCTCCATGAATCCCAGAGGCCCCCACGCACGATGCTTTGGGAGGATAAAGAACCAGAGAAAGGGTGTACCCACCCAACTTCTGAGGGATAGAGAACTGGATGGAACAAGTTAGAGTTGATTATATAAACCAACCACCCACCACGCTGCTGAAGGCCGTGCCGCATTCACTCACTAACAGAGATGCATGTGGGACTCGAGGCACCACGCATCAGACACCAGACTCCAGGGGATTTGGCTGGGGACAGACAGACATGGCCTCAGCCCTTGTAGGGACATCTGTCTCCAAATCAGTGTTTCTTTATATCAAACACCCTAGAGTCCCCTGCAGCACCATATTTAGCTAACTGAAAGCTTTCACTCATCTCTCTTCTAGGAAAACATTTACATCATCTCATTTCTATTTGAAATTTCTATATGTGGGTGCCAACCATCCTCCGGCATAAGGTGACACATAGATTCCGTAAACGTCACCCAGGTTTCTGCCGCTCAGTTGACACGTATGATCATTTACGAACTATTATTTGCGTGCATGTTATGCAGCATCTGTGGCCTTTTTCTAGGGATGAGGGAAGCCTGGATCTTCTTATTTGAGTTCACTTTCCTCATCTGAGGCTCCGTATTTCAGTTTGTGGGGCAACAACCAAGTAACAATATTAAAGTCAACCAATATTAAAGTCCTTCCTCGGGAAGGAATACGGCATCTCTCCGTGTCACTGCCACTTCTCCGACTTCTATATGCAAAAGTTAAAAAGGAAGAAAGAAGAAAAAAAGCCTTGGATTTCTTAGTGCCAACTTCGTGCTGAAAGAAGAAACACAGAAACCCATCCAGGTGGCCCACGGCCCAGCCACGAGGATCTTTTAATGAAACATTCCCTCTGTTCTCGGAGGCCTGCAAGGAAGAAGCACAGGACGGAGGCGTTGCCCGCGCTGCTGGCAGTCATCGCACCTGCTGGGCCCTCGATCTGGGGTTGCGTTACCAGTAAAAAGAAAGGTGAGCACAGGCCCAGGCCTCGTGACTGGGCTTTGGCAATCTGGCTCCCGGACCTCTGAGGTTCTGGCTGAGGGACTCGGGAAGCAAGGCAGAAATTAAATCCTGCTGACCAGAAATCTTAGCTATCTGCTGAAATAAATGCAGCACACATACGTGTGATAAGGCCAACTGTAATGGACCCTCAAGGAAACATGTTTTGAGGCCCAGAGATGTGCCTGGGATGCAGGGCAGGGCAGGGCCGGGTGGGATTGACAGGCCCCTGGACAGCAGTGCTAGTCAAGCTGCAGTCGGAGTTCTTCTTTTTTTTAAGTATAAAGATTTCCCGAAGTGCCTCATGGTTCAGAAGGCTGAAGAGTTTTCACCTGCTATTGGTCACTCTCTTTCAGTCTGATCAATTTCACCTGGCGTGAAATTGATCACAGTGAAATTTCCACAGCATTAAAAACTCCTTTTAACATCTTACATGCTCACTGAGCCCCCAACAAGAAAACTCCAAGGCACAAGAAGCGATTTCTAGTTATTTACCCAGCTCTCAGCTGCTATGTGAAACCTGCGTTTGGTCCCTAGGCGACGGCCACCGGTGCTCACATTCTCTGGGACTTTGCAAAGGAGGTCGCTCCAGTCGCTATGTCCTCAGGAAGCTACCATGACAACTGCCTGTGGGGGTGGGCGCAGTGCCACGGGCTGGGACAACACGAAGGGAATATGGCACGTGTCAAATCGAGTCCCTTAAAAGGTAGTTTATCAGATCTGGAGTAGGGAGGGTAGGAAAGGACTACCACCTTACCCAGCTTTGCTTATGGTCAAAGCAAATACTGATACTTGGGGAGAGGGAAAAAACGGACTTTATCTCACCAGCTGTGTATTTTTCACAAATAGTTTTTGAAGCTGGTTTTCTACAAATCTGTAGACGGTTGGCCTCATTCCTTACACAATTAGACATACTTACTAATCAGGTAAGAAATACTGTGAATCTCAACCAAAAAAACTGCTGGGAGGGCTTCCCTGGCAGCACAGTGGTTAAGAATCCGCCTGCCAATGCAGGGGTCCCAGGTTCGAGCCCTGGTCCGGGAAGATCCAGCTATGCCACGGAGCAACTAGGCCCGTGCGCCACAGCTACTGAGCCTGCGCTCTAGAGCCCACGAGCCACAACTACTGAGCCCGTGAACCACAACTACTGAGCCTGTGCTCTAGAGCCCGTGAGCCACAACTACGGAGCTCACGTGCCACAGCTACTGAAGCCCGCGTGCCTAGAGCCCGTGCTCCGCAACAACAGAAGCCACCGCCATGAGAAGCCCGCGCACCGCAACGGAGAGCAGCCCCCGCTGGCCGCAACTGGAGAAAGCCTGCGCCCAGCAATGAAGACCCAACACAGCCAAAAATAAGTAAATAAATAAAACAATGGATCTATTCAAAAAAACAAACAAACAAACAAGAATAACTGCTGGGAGAGCAGAAGGATAATTTCCAAATAAACCAAAGCTTACCAACTTGCACCAAAACCTTTTCATTTCCCGAATTATGAACCTTTTCCATGAAAATACGTTTAAAATGATTCTCTTGATGCCCTGACTTTGAAACAGACCCTACTAAGGAAAAAATTAAATTCTTTCTTGATAATTCAGGATCATTTCTACATAGTGTTCCTGGTAAAAGACCTATTCCTCTTTCAAAATTGCTCAGAGATTTTCCTCCTGGGTCTACCCATCCTGCCCCCTTGAGCTGACTTTGCTGTCCTCCTCCTGTAACCTCACTGGTTTCTTTCACAAGTTCTACTAACAGGTAGACTGTAAGTCTGTTGAGCGGCAAGCCCATGACTTAAGTTTGCCTCCCCCAGGACCCAGCACTCCATTTATTGATTGATCCATTCTACAAACCGTGAAGAAGCCCCACTCTGTACCAGGCACCGAGAAGGCATGAGGCAGGGAACCCCAGCCCGGGAAGCCATGTCTGCCAGCAGAACCAACACCTGACAGGCGAGCCAGCGGTGGGCAGCTGCTTGCACTGGGCTGCCTGCTCCTCCCTAAAGGGTCCCAGATAAGCACACCCTTTGGTGTCTTGAGTTCTCCTGCCTTCTGTCTTATTCTCGGGCTGTTCAGCTGCCACATCTTGCTACAAAAGGGAGGCCTCTGTTTATGGAGGTGCTACTCGACCCTCATTTTATTTTATTTTTTGGCCGTGCTGTACGGCATGCGGGATCCTAGTTCCCCGACCAGGGATCGAACCCATGCTCCCCACGTTGGAAGCCCAGAGTCTCAACCACTGGACCTCCAGGGAAGTCCCTGTCTTCATTTTAAACATCAGAAAATCTGACCCGAGGTAGGAAAAACATTCTCACTTTATACAAAGCAATTAAGCTTTCATTATAAATAGCAGCAGGGCGTCCAGAAAGATTAAATATTAGAAGAGCCTGTGTTCTTTGATTTTTATTTTCCACAGGCAAGAAAATGCAGACCGGTTGGTTTTTTCTGCTCCCCATAAAGGGGGAACTGGGAAGCCCCAGTGGAAGGGTAAGGACAGAGCAGAAGAGGTTTGGCTATGACGTGTGCCACCGTGGCCACCGCCAAACCAGCGTTCTGCTGGGGATCAAGGCTGCCCAGTCTTGTGTCACATCGAGGTTTGAAAAACAAAGCCCTGACTGGATTTGCTGTCCCAAGTGGGTGAGTAACTGAGAAGCCCTGGTGTGGAGGAGGCTCTTGGGGACACTGGAAAGCCAGCTTCTTCTTTAATGTATATGGTCGTGTGACACCTCAGAAGTGAAGTGGGCACTTTTACCTGTCAACAAAGTACCCCAGCACTTTCTCAAGTGCTGGAGAGACTATATGCTTAGTAACTTGTCACTTTGGCAAACTCAAGAGACGGCACCCTGGGCCCTCACAGAGCACGGTGAGAACTCAGTGACGTGAGCACCATTCGGGGGGACCGGGGTCCCTGGAGCTCTTCAGGGACACCCCAAAGGGGACCTCACACCGGGTCTTCCCACCAGCTCCCTGGCTGTCTTGTCCAAGTGCCTGGCCAAGACAGGAATAAATGTTCGCGATTCAGAAGGATCAGGTCCCGGCTCATTCATTCCTCCAGCTCAGGACAGGCTGGGCCGCTGTATCTCTGCTTCAAGGGATGGGAGCAACCCCAGCAAGTCCAACCATGCTCAGGAAGGGAAACATTAACACTTACTGACGTGAACTCCATCTTCTTCTTGAGTAAGTTTATTAAGTATTTGGCTTGCTGACCTTTAATAAAATGGTCGTAAGCTACGGCCAACTTACTTTGAGAAATGAGCACAAAGCAACATTGATAATTTTTAATAAAAACCAGAAAGTAAATAAGATCCGAAATTCCCAGAAGATAAGAACCTCTCTTGACCCTGTTTCCCCTGTCCTGCCCACACAGAGCCGGGCCAAACCCTGTTTTATTGGCACGGAGCTCTGTGTCCCCACCACCACCCTCTGTGAGGGGCCATACGTGGGGGTGGGGCTCTAGAATGGCCCAGCTGGGGCGGGGGTGAAGGGCTTTAAAAGGCCCTGTCCTCGCCCAGCACTGAGCAGCGATGTGATACTGACCTGTCCTGCAGTGTCACAGAGCTGGAGTCTCACGGGCCGCCCATCCACGGAAACCACAGCTTAAAAATAAGACCAAAAGGACTGTCAGGGGGGTCTCTTTTAACCTTTTCCAGAAGTATGATAGTTTTAATTTGTATGACCATTCTCACTCCAAACCCTTCAGCTCCTATTCTGGGTCCCCAGTGAATTCAAGACTTGCCTAAAACAAAGAGGCCCGTGAGGTATTTCTGCACCCAAACCTGCAGGGCGGGCAATTCGCTCCATGCCCCAGAGAAGGCAGGAGGCCAGAAGCTTTGATGGCACCCAGAAGGGCCTGCGCTTTTCTCCCAGCCCCAGAAGATTTATTTTCCTGTCACACTTGTTTCAAAAAACCCAAAAACTACACTGGGGGGTAAGTGGGAACCAACCTTGCAGCTTTAAGTCAGTGGAAAATCTCACAAATAATTCTGCTTTCCCTTGGGAAACGTTCGGTGACTTTGGGGTTTATCATAAAAGTGTGGCTTGTTTTGAGAACACGTGCAAACACAGGCTGCCCGCGTTGTCCTGCTTATAAAAGAGGGCACAGCTTATCTCTCCATGTCAGCTCAAAGAGCGGATTAAAAGAGAAAAGGAAAGGAAACAAAACCATTCCCACCTTTCCACTGGGAAGGGGTATCTGGGGAGGGGCTTGCATCAGGGCGCTGCTCTGAGGTTTCTATTTGAATGAAGTACTCCGTTTTGTCTCAATACAACTTTCTAAATTGTTTACACATCTTTACACTACTCAGTTGGGAGGAGGAAAAAAAAGGAAAAAAACAATATCGTTTAGGTGGGAAACCCAGTAGCACAGCACTGCTTTACCTAGGGTGCCTTACAGGTGGATGAAAGCAAGTCCTTGCCACCATGACTTTCCAAAAGGTACAGAAGCTTGTGTGTGAGTGTGTGTGTGTGTGTGTGAGTGTGTGTGTGTGTGTGTGCGCTTTAAAAAAAAAAACAGAGAAAGTGTTTCACCCTAGCTTCCATAGATTTTAACTTTTTCTTAAATTTCAAAAAGACTTGAAAAATCAAGAGTAAGGACTCCTTTATCTTGGTAGCTACCAAACCAAATGACATAGCACTGTACACATAAGAGCTTTCAGTAGCTTAAAGAGATACTGAAAAGATACTAAGACTCAGAAACAGAGCCCATGGGGGCGGTGGAAGCGGGGGCAGGGGAAGCGTTGGTGCTCGGAGGGAAGAAGCTGTGTTTACTCTCCAGGTTTAATCCAAACCTCGGCCCTCCCTAGTGCTTCTAGTGCCATTTCCACTAAATCCACTCTCTTCCCCCGTCTCCGCAGCTCTTTAAAAGTGGAGACGCCCTCGGGAGGGGAGCCACCAACAGGAAAGGACGGACCCTCGGGCCACAGGTAATGGCACCTGCGCGTCACCTTCCGATCGAAACCCGGCAGCAGCGCCAGCAACGTCGACCTGACGCAACTTCTCTACCCAGGAAACTGACCAGGCCACCTGGGCGCGACCTGTTAGACCCCACCGTCTGCCCCTGAATGGCGAGGCGACCGCCGCTCCCCGCGCCAGGGTTAGGGCTCCCGGTCCCCGCGGCCCCACGCCCCCCGCAGGCCCCCGCCCCCGGCCCCGCTCACCTGAGAAGTTGTCGAAGGCGGTGGGGATGTACTCGGTGGGGTAGCCGTTGGTGGTGTAGCTCACCACCAGGCTGGTCTTGCCCACCGCGCCGTCGCCGACCAGCACGCACTTGACGCCGCGCCCCTCCGCGCCGCCCGCGCGCCCCCGGCCCCCCGGCGCCCCGGCCCCGCGCCCCCCACGCTCCCGGCGGGGCGGCACGGGCGGCGCCTCGCAGCGGCCCGGGAACGCGGGGTCCCCCTGCTGCGGGGGCATCGGCCCGCGCCCGCCGCGGGGGGAGCTGTCCCCGACCCAGGCGCGAGGTGCAGACAAAGGCGGCCGGGCGGCTCGGGCTGGACTCGGGCTCGCGCGGCGCCGGCTCCGTTCCGCGGCCGAGGACTGCGGGCCGAGCGGCGCGGGGCCCCGCGCTGTCTCCTCCCGCTTCCCGGCGGCCAGGCGCGCTGGGGGCGGGCGCGGGGAGGAGGCGGGGCGGCCGCTCGTTCCCTGCGCCGGGCCCACAGCGCCCCCGCCTGCGCGCCGCGCTCTGCGCTCGAGCCGGAGCCGGGCGCGCGGGGGGCGGGACCGCGGCCGCGGGCGGGGGACACAGACAGCCGCCGGGGGGGCCGCCGGACGCCCGATTGGGGCGGCGCCGAGGAGCCGGGCCGGCAGAGGGCAGCTCCTCCCGGCGCCGACACTGACGCCACCGCCTAGAGGCCCGCGGTCCCGCCTCCTGCGCCCACGCGGCCGGAGGCCAGGCTCCTCCGGGCCCTGCGCCCCTCGCCCCCTTCTCCACGCGGTCCCGGCCTCCTCGGCCACAGCGCTGCACCCGAGGGGGGCAGTGAAATGCCTGGGGGACAGTCGTCGGAAGGAGGCTGAATTAACAGCCAACTTTTCGTTTAAGGTCTAGCCGCTGCCCGTCGTGTGATTTTTCTTCTTCCAAAGTAATGTATTCTATCGTTTGAGAGCAAAAGAACGTCAGGTCCTTTGTTAATGCTCGTGTGACTTTCTCTTTGGCGTGCCCTGAACCAGCAAATGTCTTTATAGCTCCAATTCCTACATTTGCTTAAATGTAACGTGGTGACGTTAGTATTATGGTTGCGGGGGGCGGGAATCCGTTTATCTGTGACTCCTTCCTCTACATCTAGTCAGCAATCCATCCGGAAAGACAGGGAAGACTTTCTGGGCCTAGTCCGGACACAAAGGCTCCTCGGGGTTTGCACTGTGGTGTGAGAAGAGGCACATACTGTGAACACGAATGGTGATACTAATAATAAAAGTTACAGTAGCTAATAAACATCGATCCTTTCTTACGTGTCAGACACTGGTAAGCACTCGGCATGAGCTAGTTCCTGTCATCTTATCATTACTTATACCCATCTTATGGGTATAGGATGAGAAAATCTGAGGCACAGAAATATTAGATAAAATGCTGAGTTCCCACAAGCGAGCAATTGGCAGTGCCAGGATTCAAGTAGTCTGGCTCCAGAGCCTGAGTTCTTACCCAGTGTCCTTGAAAGCAAAAATAAGACAGAGTGATAAACTCAGCCTTGGAAGTGTGGCTGTAGTTGGAATGCAGAGGTGGATTTACCAAGAGGCTGGAGGCTTGAATCCATGGCCTCTCATGTGCAGACAACCTCTCCAAGGCCCTGGGGGCCCTAGCAGTGTGAACACATGGTTATGTTTTTGTAAATTTTTCAAAATCATATATTTTAACCACCACCAATTAATCCCACTATCTCTTTCAACTCTAACTTCTCATACGGAGAAGCTTTGATGTGGCAGTGGACATTCTGAGGATCAAGCCAAAGTAAAGTAAAGTTGGGGAGACATTTCGTTTGCGTTTAATGGATACAGAGCCAGGACCAAGGCGAGGGAAGGAAGGAGACAAGGGAGCAAAGTTTAAGGGGCCAAACTTGCACTTGCCTGACCCAAAGAATGAGCCTTGACCCTGATGGGATGTATCTGTGTGGTTTTCAGTTCCCACATGTAGTTACCTTATTTCTAGCCACCCAGGTGTAGGAATGGCCACCAGTAACGTGCCTACTATGCAGTATACTACTGGTATCCATCTGAACTTTCCCACTCTCCCCAGCACCGGAAGGTTCCAGTAGCAAAGCAGTCACAGAGTTTAGATATAGCTTCTTGAAGCCAGACGGTAGTTTGTGGTTATTCTTTCCATCATAAAACACATAGTATTGTTAGATGGGGGTTGGCTCTCTCACCTACACCTGGTCAAAATGGAAGTTCTCTCCCCTCAGGAATATACTCTAACTGCAGCATATACGATTATAAATGCACTATACATTTTTACAGGAAATAGAATTGATGTGAATTCTTGCGTTTGTGAGGACACAAACCTGTCGCAGTACCACAAACAGCAAGTTCACCTGTATGTGAAGTACATTTCCATTCTTCTCTAGAAAACACGTTACAAAATTGAAAAAGTAGTCAAAGGGCATGCAGCTAGGGGTATGGGGGAGGTTGTGTTCAAGAGACACAAAGTTTCAGTTATGCAAGATAAATACATTCTGGAGAGCTAATGCACACCCACGTGACTAGAGTTAACAACATTGTATGCTTGTATCTGCTAAGCTGGATCTTGAGTGTTTGCAAAATACACACACACTTGAATATTTCACAATATATCCATATATCAAATCATCAAGTTGTACACCTTAAATATGTACAATTTTTCATTGTGAACTAGACCTCAGTAGAGCTGGGGGGAGGGTATGCAGCGAGAAAATGTGGGGAAAATAGTATGATTGAGGTGTATCGGGTGGTTTATTAAATGTTTTCTTGTGGCTATTTTTGAAGTTTATGTTGTTTGTCGGCCTTTTAAATTGCATAGCTTATTGTGATGCATGTCTCATTTTAAATCAATATTTTTGTACCTAATTTTCTATCCTTAAATTTTTATCCTTTCTCTTACAGAAGGCCTCCAAATGTGATCAGCTTCAGGCCCTACAAAATGTGGGTCTCCCCCGACCTCTAGCCATATAGTAGCTTTTGTATCCTGGAGCCCCCGGCTTTGCTTTGCTCCCTTTTTTATGTCGAATATTGTCCCACTCCACTCGTTTTGGCCCATCTTTCTAGATCCAATTTAATCAACCCCCTGCAGCCTTATTTAAAAGCCGCAGAACTAACTGCCCACTACGAGAAGACTTTTCTGCAGCCCGTGATACACAAGTCCAGAGGTAGAGAGATGGCCTGGAACTCAGTGCTGACCAAGGCCAGGGCTGTGGACGCCCCTCCAACTGTAAGATCAATCGGTAAATCTTACAATAGATCAGTAAATCATATGATGCGTTCTCTTGTTTGTTTACTGTCTGTCTCCCCGTTCAAGCCCCATGAGGTCAGGGACTTTATTTTGTTCATCCTTATACCCGACACTTTACATCATGTGGGGAAAGTAGTAGGTTGCTGTTTTCTGTTTTATGCTTTTATAAAGTATTTTTAGAACATATGAATCCTGCAGCAATTAACAAGAAAGACCATTCCTTTGTTCTCTGAGAATGCCTTACCCCTCCTGTACTCCCCATCTATATCCACCAGGACGGCATAGTTGGTGCAATGTCTCCTCTGTGTCTTGGGTTTGGTAAATTTGGGAAATGCTGGCATTTACGTGGGCAAAAAGCAATCTTCCACTCTTAAGTTCTGGTGCCTCCGTGGCTCTCCAGCCCAGCTGTGAACATTCCCCCACCGCACCCGAGCCCTTACACTGGTGAACGTATGCCTAATCACTATCATAGCACTTTGTTAAAATAACCTACTGACACTTGCTCTTAATCTCCTAAAAAAAGCATGACCCTTGCTTCACCAAACTCTCTATCCCCAGCACGTTTTCTAGTATATTTTTTCCCTAAAGCTCTTTTACCTGTTCTACTAGCAAAGAGTATCTAATTTTCAAATGCACTAATTATCATGAATTTATACTTTGGAACTAATATAGTAAAAACCATGACAATAGACTTTATACTGTGTACCTTTCACTTTTCTATCTTTTGACATATTCAAGAAAGAAGCTAAAATAATTTTCTGATTAATACTTTCTTTGCCAGGGTGTAATATCCATCATCAAATTCAATACAAAGCTTTTTTTTTCTTTTTTACTATTTATAACATTTCACTATTTACCCATCTTCCATAAATAAGTAACAGCAGGGAACCAAATCAGAAGTGGTTGGTTTCTGGATCTTTCATGTTAACGGGTGGTGTAGCTATGAGTGTTTGTTCTTTCTTCAAGCCATCACCCTTTATCTTGGACACATTCATCTCTGAAGGAAACTTCTTTTCTTTAGCGGTGCCTTGGTTTTTAAATGTCCTGTGAGAGACCACCAGTTAGAAAATTACTTCTCAGGAATTCCCTGGTGGTCCAGTGGTTGAGACTATTCACTTTCACTGCCAAGGGCCTGGGTTCGATCCCTGGTCGGGGAACTAGGATCTGAGGCTGGGCTGCTGTTCCCCAAAACATCCTTCTCTGTGTGTTCCAGGTTATGGCTGTCCACTGAGAGGAGCTCCCTGGGGATTGGGAAGTAGAGGACTGTCATATGGCTACACGTGATGGCGGACAGACTCACAGGGCCTGACACGCCTTTACTCTCCTCCTGCTCTGTGCCCACCTCATCATCTTCACAGCAGCCTGAGTTCACTGGACCCACAGAGGCTGCAACCCCCCACAAAGCACACCTTGCGCTCCCTTTCATGGCCTGGCTGGTGGCCATGTCTGCAGGGCTACTGGGTTTTCTCAAAAGCTTCAACTGGAGCCCTGTACCAGATTCAGCTGGACAGGCTTAGTGACTGTGTCCCTCTTCCCTGCAACTCCCAACCTCGTGAAAGCTTCCCTTCCTTGCCCCGTGCCTTGGAGAGGCTGTTTTCCTAACTGAGCCCTGACCATACCCTTCCTTTGTCCTTTTTTACCACCAGGGATGCCAGCCTAGGAAAAAAAAAAATTGACAAGGAAAATAATGTCGGCATTTTTCACTAGAGAAGATGGGAGGATCATATAAATGTCACCAGACCACCAGCTGGCCCACCAGTGGGTCCTTGTCAATAATTGCAGACCCCAGACTCTCCCATCAGCTAGCATTATGGTGAGGGGTCATGGACATTATCCAACATGTTGAAATTGGGGCCCTGTCTACAGATGTCCTTTTGTCTCTTGCCTGTTGGTAACTAGAATGAATAATTTTTTTTTTTTTACTCAAAAAGAGCTCCCATTGACACGATGAAACTTTCAGATGTGAAAAATCAATCATTAATATTGATTGTAAAAAATACTTCTGAAAAGAAAATGTTTATATTGTTTTTACTGGTCAGATTAGGCTAGGCTGCACTACAGTGATAAATAAACTCAAAATCTTAATGTCTAGAAACATAGGAGTGATTCTTTGGTCATGCAAAATCCACTGCAGGTCAAATGACTGTCTGAGGCAGTGCCTTTCCAAGTGGTGACTCAGGGATCCAGGC